TCCAGAGACCGGCAATGGTCCACTACTCTTTGAGGCAGACCCATGGCTGGCTTGCTCTTGGACTGGGAAGCCTTAGCAGTATCTACTGCTGGACATGGCGTAGGCGGTGCCAGGAGGGCCATAAGGTTCCTAGCCACCTAGAAGACCTTGGGTGCCAAAGGCACTAAACAAGTACTGGGGTCCCATACCACTTGGAGGAGTCGGAGGTGGAACCCTGGGCGGGCTGAGAGGTCCAGATGGAGAGGTACCCCCTTGGAGCTCCGGGGTGGGCAGGCAGCCCAAACAGGTTCTTTGCTCAACACCCTATTTCCCTCTTTACTTGGCGCTGGGGAGCCATGCTGCTTTTTCTGGTGCTTCTTAGGCACCTGCGAGGGGGAGCGGTGCTGAGAGGAACTCGGTGCCGGCGGAGCACTCTGCACTGACGTTGATGTACTAGGTGTTGAACTGAGGGAGCGGGATGGCTCCGACACTGGGCGAAGTGCAGCCTCCCTGAGGAGGGCTTTAAGTTAAATGTCTGATTCTTTTTCGGTCCTTGGCCTAAAGTTTTTACAAATCCTGCACCTCTCCTTCACATGCGACTCCCCAAGCACTTTAGGCAGCTGCTATGGGGGTGCTAACTGGCATAGGCTTGTTGCAGACTGAGCATGGCTTGAAGCCTGGGAACCAGGGCAAGCCCCGTTCCTGGGACAAGATCCCTAATGGGGACACTAACCATAGAACACTATACAAACGACTAACGCTAATTAACTATGAAAACGCTATCACACTTGCAAATGCAAGAGGAAGGCACTCCAACCAACCGTCACAGCTGATACGAAGAAACTGAGACGGTGTAGGGCCGGTGGTACCTCATATACCAGGGCATGATCGCAGGACTGCAGAGGGTGCCAAAGCTGGCCCTACGGATACTGCTAAGACAAAAAATTCCGACAATGGTGCACGTTGGCGGGCACACACCTAGAATGGAATTGACATGTGCAAGCACTCGAAGAAGCAGCCTTGCTGGAATGCAGAGAGGTGAGGAGCTGGGCCTGGGGGGAGCAAGGGGATGATGGAAGACTCATACCAGGACGAGAAGCCAGGGGATAGGGAGAGACTGGGATGAGGAGCCAAGGGGAAACTGGGATTCAGATGAGGACTGGCTGGAGTGACCAGGGGCAGAAGGATCTCAAAGCACTCTAGCACACTTCTCTCAAAACCTGGAATTCCTAGATTCCCGAGTTTCAACAATCCTGTCAGCAAACAGCTGTCAAATCTACTGGCAAAGTATGTCTCATCCCCCTCTAGTCGTTGGTCCACATAGAAGAAGACAACTTACTACTACTACATCAGTTATTTTTCTAGCTCAGGAGGTAGAAGTAGGGGTTGTGGAGCTAACAGTTCTAACCTTACTGATGAACCATCTGGGAGTTAATACGGTTCTTCATAATGGAATTTACATTTCCCCCCACTTTGTATAAAAACTTAGTAAAATTACACACAAAAAACTATGTTAAATGTCTGTTAATGTTGCAAAGTTAAGAACTCAATAGCTGGGTAAGTAACTTAAACCAGACTGTTTACAGGTGGTCACTGTGTGCTCCTCATGTTCTGGTGCTCCACTTAATATCCTAAGACCTGTTTAGCAGAAGTGCTGAGAGGGCTCATAGCTGAAAAAATAAGTCAATGAGAACTGTGCTCTGAACAAATAAAGTGCTATAAATGCTAAGTTCTTAAAAATCAGGCCACAAGCATTTTAGACAGCCTGACAATAGAATATTTTTCGTAGCATATGAGGGTTCTCTGAATATAACAAACGTAGCATATGTGGGGTTCTCTGAATATAACAGACAGACAAAAGAATGGTCCTCTCTCTTGAAGGAAAGGAAAACACAGCAAGGCAAAAGTGGCCTGTGACTCAGGCAGTCTTTCTGGATTCAGTCTTTGGACTTGGTCTATCAGCGAGTCTGTTGTCTTGTAGAGGGGTCTACCTTTAGCCCCTCCTCTTGGGGCATCTTGCTTTGTAGCTAGTCTGTGTAGCTTTGGGAGGGGAAAGGCCTGCCTCCCTCTTGGCTGACCTGTCTCTGTTGTCAGCAGCCTCTGAGGTGGAGCAGCCCTCCTATTCACTGCCTCTTCCTGTGGCAGATTTCTGTTTTTAAGCTCCCCCCTTTTCCAGGCAGAACAAGGCTTACAAGTGTGCCTCATTAATGCTGAACAGGCCCAGAACAGCTCCTTAGTCTCCTCTCCATTAGAATGAGGGCATGTCCCTTCATACCCTGTCAGGATGCTAAAAATGTCTTTCCAATTTATATAAATTATTTTATAAATCTCTTTGGACCAGTAAATTTTCTTTTATATTCTTTCCAGATGAGAAGAGTGCATTATTATTACGTCTCCTTACCTGTTAAAGGCATGTGTGGAATATTATCAAAGTATTCCTTCATCAGTTTCATAGAGTAGGAGTCACTCAGTAACAAACCATTAGATATTCAGATAGTTGCAGTATCTTGTCATAGAATATTAGGGTTGGAAGAGACCTCAGGAGGTCATCTAATCCAATCCCCTGCTCAAAACAGGACCAACACCAACTAAATCATCCCAGCCAAGGCTTTGTCAAGCTGGGCCTTAAAAACACTAAGGAAATAGATCAACAGAGCCAGACGTGTACCCAGAAGCCTCCTACTGCAAGACAAGCCCAAGAAAGAATCCAACAGAACTCCACTGGCCATCACATACAGTCCCCAGCTAAAACCTCTCCAACGCATCATCATCCAACAACCCATCCTGGACAACGATCCCTCACTTTCACAGGCCTTGGGTGGCAGGCCAGTCCTCGCCCACAGACAACTCGCCAACCTGAAGCATATTCTCACCAGTAACTACACACCGCACCATAGTAACTAACTCATGAACCAATCCATGCAACAAACCTCGATGCCAACTCTGCCCACATATCTACACCAACGACACCATCACAGGACCTAACCAGATCAGCCACACCATCACCGGCTCATTCACCTGCACGTCCACCAATGTAATATACGCCATCATATGCCAGCAATGCCCCTCTGCTACGTACATCGGCCAAACTGGACAGTCCCTACGTAAAAGGATAAATGGACACAAATCAGATATTAGGAATGGCAACATACAAAAACCTGTAGGAGATCACTTCAACCTCCCTGGACACACAATAGCAGATTTAAAGGTAGCCATCCCGCAGCAAAAAAACTTCAGGACCAGACTTCAAAGAGAAACTGCTGAACTTCAGTTCATCTGCAAATTTGACACCATCAGCTCAGGATTAAACAAAGACTGTGAATGGCTAGCCAACTACAAAAGCAGTTTCTCCTCCCTTGGTGTTCACACCTCAACTGCTAGAAGAGGGCCTCATCCTCCCTGATTGAACTAACCTCATTATCTCTAGCCTGACTCACTCTTGCTTGCATATTTATACCTGCCTCTGGAAATTTCCACTACATGCATCCGAAGAAGTGGGTATTCACCCACGAAAGCTCATGCTCCTATACGTCTGTTAGTCTATAAGGTGCCACAGGACTCTTTGCTGCTTTTACACCTCTCTAGGTAACCCTTCCAGTGCTTCACCACTCGCCCAGTGAAATAGTGTTGCCTAATAGCCAACCTAGATCTGCCCTACTGCAACTTGAGACCATTGCTTCTTGTTCTGTCATCTGCCAGCACTGAGAACAGCCTAGCTCCATCCTCTATGGAACCCCCCTTCAGGTAGTTGAAGGCTGCTATCAAATCCCCCCCTCACTCTTCTCTTCTGCAGACTAAATAACCCCAGTTCCCTCAGCCTCTCCTCATTGCTCCTAATAATCAGTTAATGTCAAATTGATGCATGCTTTGATAATGTCACTGTTCTGGCTTTGGTATGGGTTATTTTGTCTATTAAAGTATTGGTGACAAAGGGAACAGTTGTTGACAGTTTTTGCAGTGTGAGAATGGAATGTATGAGTGAGAATGGTAATCTATTCCTTGTATATTATATTCTCTCCAACTACCAGTCCAACACTACCACTAAAAATGTGTGGGAGATGATCCTCTGTTCCTTCAAGGAAGCAATTGTGATGACTAGCACAGATGACCCCGGCATACGTGACACCATTCTGGACAGTGATCCATTATAAAAAACTGGGGCCCTGATTCAACACATAATCTTTAACATATGAGTAGTTTCATTGAAGTTAATGGGACTAAACAAACAATGTTCGGCACACGCTTGCACCTTTTTGGTGGTCTGTGTGACACCTACTGTATTATGAAGTACAGGGAAGGGCCCTGCAGCCTGTTTGATAGATTGACAGATTGATAGAGATTTGACCTACATGATGACTGGGAACTACATGCTCCACTTTCTGAAGACTGCACAGGCATCTAGCTTTTCCACACACTTTACGGATATCTTGCCCATGCATTTCAGGTATTTTGTACTCAGAGACCTGGCAGTGAGGGAAGAAGCCACATAGACAGCATTTGCACCCCTTTACTTTTCAGGCCTTTGTCATGGTCTTGAAAGGAAGAGACAAAAGTGCTACCCAGCAGTAATTATACTTTAGGATTTAAAAAGTCCCCAATATCCTCCTGTTGTTTCCAATATAATCCAAATGTAAATAAACAGAATGAAGAAATTTAGAAATAATTTAGAGCCATTGGTATAGTCTGCATCTAAATAGCTCTGGATGGCTAGAACTCTGTAGTGTTCCAGGGACGGGAGATCCTAGCCCTGATATGCAACCAAAGTTCTGCTCTACCTCCAATCAGCAATGAGAGAAGGAATATCTTTCAGTACATACTGGTCAGCAAATAAGTTCAGAAGAATAGGGAGGGGGAAAAAGAACTATAGGGTAGCTCATTTAATTTGGGAAAAGTGTATATAACAGGGCAGGTGAACCCAATAGGTTACCATATAAAAGTCAAATGCAGAAACCCTAACTTTGAGAAACTGTAGAAGAAAGGAAGTCGAGAAAAGGACAAGGAATAAAATAACCAGTACAAACCTTTGATATGTACTAGATGCTTCTGAGCAAATCATACTCTCCTTTCTTCTTCCACATTCACACTGAAGATCAACCTGTTATGCCATGAAAGCAGTAAATCAATTTTTTCTCTTTATTTGTAACAAATATATCGGAAATCTAGTCTTCCAAAACATTATACAGGCTTAAAAAAATGCTAATCTTGAAAACTCATTTGTTTTTTTACTAAAAATTCAATTATTTCTGTATATAGTTTCTACGGTAGACATGAGCTAAAGAAAGAAAAGAAAGATTACTTACCTTCTGTAACTGGAGTTGTTCTTCAAGATGTTTGGTCCCTATGTGTATTTCACTGTGGGTACACATGCGCTCCATGTGACCAAGACTGAAGATTCTTGCTAGTGGCCATGCCTGCGCTCTTGCTTGCCTCATGCTCTGACCTGCACCAGCAAGTGTTTCTTCACATGGAAAAGATTCTATGGTTGGGCCCTACACACCATATGTCCTGAGGGGAAATGAATATTCCTACTATTTTGGACTGTCTACCGACCTTGAAATCCTCCAGGCTTTCCATTAGCTTGCTATGCATTCATTTGGCAATGATCAGTGCCTGCCATGCTCTGATCAACAACTGTTCGATCTTCATGCATCCAGTTACTGGTTGTTTTTTTAAAGGTTTACTCAAACCTTTCTGATGGCCATCACTTCAGCTAGAAAGGTAAGCAAATTGGGGGCCCTAAGAGCTAATCCACCTTAGACCATATTCCATAAAGATAAGGTTTCCGTAAATTTGTCCCCAGAGTAATCTCCAATTTCTACATGAATCAGTCCATACACTTACCTGTGTTTGTCCCTAAGCCTCATACCACCAATAAGGAACAGAGACTCCATTCCCTGGATGTGTCTCAGGCATTGGTATTCTATCTTCAAAGAACAAAATCCTTTAGGAGGTCACCCAGGCTCTTTGTTGGCATTGCAGAATACATGAGAAGGCAAGCAATCTCGTTGTAAAGATGAAGTGGATATTGGGGTGTACCTTGCTCTGTTGCCAGTTGTTGAAAACTCCTCCACTGCATAGTGAGGGCCCACTCCACCAGAGCAAATGCTGCTTCAGTAGCTTCATTTAAGGGCATACCTCTTGTTGACTTATGTAAAGCAGCCACGTGGAGTCCCTGGTGCACATCTCAGCTGATGCATCCTTTGGGACCATGGTCCTTCAATCCTCAATACCACAATACCATCTCACACACCCCTTCTTCTTGAATACTATTTGTCAGTCACTCACAGGGAAATACACATAGGGACCAGCATTCAAAGAAGAAGGAATGGTTACCTATCTTCTATAACCAGAGTTCTTTGTGATGTGTTCCCTGTCTGTATTCCATTACCTATCCTCCTTCCCCTCTTCTTCAAGGCATAGAAACACTTGCTGGTGGACTCTTTCCAGCAGTTGCTAAGAATGACTAACAGCTGCCAAACATTTCTACTCTAGGTTTGATGCCTATCCAAATACTGTGCTGTGAGGTGAAGCTGGTCCTGGATTTGGATGTCTGAGCCTGCTCTTGTCCTGCATCAGGATATCTCGGAAGGGTTGAATGCTGACTGGCGGATGGGATGACAGCCGAAGAATGGGAAACCAAAATTGTCTTGGCCACCTGGTGGTGATGAGGATGATTGCCACATCCTCCCAGATCTTCCTGAGAATTTGAAGTAGGAGTGGGATGGGGGGAAATGCGTACATCAGACTGCCTGACCATGGGATTAGAAGGGCATCATCTCTGGAATTCTGTCCCTTTGCCCCCTTGCGCAGCGCATTGTTTGGTGTCCTGCAACACAAATAGGTCTAGAAATGGGGATACCCATTGTTGGAATATGTCTCCTACCACTGAGTCATGAATCTCCCAATTGCGTTCTGTCGAAAAGTGACAGCTAAGGCTTTCTATTAGAGTTTTGTGTATTCCAGAGAAGTGTACTGCTGACAGCATTATTTGATGACGAATGCACCAATTATTGGTGGACCATCTCTATACAAAGGGGTGTAGATCTTGCTCCCCCCGCCCTTTGCTTGTTCATATAGAATACAGTTATGTTGCCCAACATTACCTGAACATGTTGGGAGTGGATAAATGGTAAGAACCATATGCAGGCTTCCTGAACTGCTTTCAGTTCCAGAAGATTTATATCAGAGGGGTAGCTGCGTTAGCCCTAGTCTACACTGTGGGGGGACATGGGGGATCGATCTAAGTTACACAACTTTAGCTACGTGAATAACGTAGCTGAAGTCGACGTACTTAGATCGACTTACCGCGGTAAGTCAACTCTGCCTGCACCTCTCGCGGGATGGGAGAGGGCTCGGGGGTCAATTTACGATCCCCGTTGGATCGATCGCTGCCTGCTGATCCGGTGCGTAGTGTAGACATATCCTTAGTCTGTATCCACAAAAACAAGGAGTCCAGTGACACCTTAAAAACTAACAGATTTATAGGAGGGGTCAATGTTCCTTGTACCGTGTGTTTGTTCAGATGAGTACCCCAGACTTTGAGATAGGCATCTGCCATCAATGTCTTCTGAGGAGTGGGGAGTGAGGGAACTTCTATGCACAGCTGTTCTTTGTCCTGCCACCAAGCTACAGAGTCGTGTACACTGTGAGGGATCATAACAAAACTTGTCCAGGCAGTGTTTACTTGGCATGTAAACTGTCTGAAGCCAGGTTTGTAGGCAGCAGAGTTGTGATCTTACAAATGGGGTCCTAAGTGCAAGATGCCATATGACCCAGGAGGATGAGGCATGTCTGAATCGATGTCAGTGGACTCTTTCTGAGCTGATTAATCAGAATGTTCATGAACTTATCCATGGGGAGATAAACTCTGGCTCTAAGTGAGTCTAGAGTTGCTCCGATGAAATCTATGGTCTGTGTTGGAGTTAAAGTGGACTTTTCTACATTTATGCAGATTCCTACAGATGTTTGGAGAGTGAGTAAGGATGAGGTTGATGAGGGTGCCTTCCGACAAGACTTTCCCATAAGAAAGATATGGATATGGGCTATTGAGTTCTGCTACTACTGAACATGGATATGGACGGAAGTGTGCTGCTACTTCTGGAAGCACTTTTATGAATACTCTGGGTGTTGTTGCTAATTCAAAGGGAAGCACCCTGTATTGAGAGTGGTTTGTACCTACCACTCAGGAACCTCCTGTGGGACAGAAAGATATCTATGTGAAAATAGGCACCCTTGATGTCAAGAGTTGTGAATCATTTTTTTCTGTTCAGGCAGGATTATTGATGCCAGAGTGACCATTCTGAATCTTAATTTTCAGACAAAGAAACTGAGGTGATGGAGGTCTAACGTGGGTCTCCATCCTCCTGTTTTCTTGGGGATCATGAAATATTTGGAATAAAAACTGTTTCCCTGGTGCTGGCACCTGCTCTGTGGACCCTTGATGAAGTAGAGAGTGTACTTCCTGTAAGGTGCTCCTTCATGAGAGTGGTCCCTGAAAAGAGAGCGGGAAGAGGATTTTGGAGGGGGAGGGGAAAGGAACCATTGTGTAATCAAAGCAGATGACACAGAAGACCCTTCCATCTGCTGTGATTGCCATATATGGAAAAATTGGGCCAGCTAGCCACCAAATCGAATTTCAGGGGTGGGAGAACATGGCTTCTGGGTGAGTTGGCTGCTCTTGGAGGTCCTGTCAGAAGTATTTCTTGCCTGATAGTTGAGGATGGAAAGAGCAGCATTCTGCTTGGGTCTTTGCACTCTGCCTCTTTTGTGGCAGTTTGTACCCTTTCCAGTGGTAGAAGGGCTGAGCTGGTGGTCCAGGATGGTGCAGGATTATTTGCTATATTTCCTCCTGAGAGCTGGTCTATATAAACCCAGGGAGCAGAGGGTCACCTTCAAGTCTTTTAATGGGGGGTAATGACTCATCAGTCTTTTGGCTGAATACGCTGTCTCCTTCAACTGTAAGTACTCCATAGTGGCCAGGACTTCTCTGGGGAATCCTGAGGAGTGAAGCCAGTTTTTTCCCCTCACACCACAATGTTGGTAGCCATTGATCTAGAAGCTGTATCAGCCATGTCTACCGCTGCCTGGAGGGATGATATAGCCACCAATCTACCTTATTCAATAAAGGGCCTGGAATTGCCTCCCCAAGGAAGGCAGAGCACTTGTCTCTAAATTCCGAAAACTTGGAATAGTTGGCAAAATGATACTTTTCCAGAAGCACTTGGATACTGGCTATGTGGAACTGCAAGCTTGTTGATGTAAATTCCCTCCTTCCCAGAAGGTCCAGACATTTCACCTCCTTTTCTGAAGGGAGGTATCTGCTTTATTGTTGTCTACTCCTTTGTGTGGCAGCTTGCACCACAAGCAGTTCGAGGCATGATGGAGTAAAAAAGAAATCTGCTCCCTTAGATGGGACAAAACTTTTCTCTGCCCTCTTACATGTAGGTGCACATATAGTTGGAGTATGCCACACCACCTTGGCTGTCTCTAGGATAGACTTGTTCACTGGGCGCACCATCTTACTCCTTCCAACACTCTGGAGAATATCCAGCAGTTTGTGGGATAACTCCTGGACCTCCTCCTGAGGGAATCATCTCAGCCACCCTTAATAGACTCCTGGAACTGTCTCTGGTCATCTGATGGAGAAGGCAATGACACAGCGACCACTTCGTTGGGAGAGGAAGATGATATACCCGATGGGATGGGTGGTACCACAAGATCCAGTTCTTCTCCCCCTTCTTCCATGGGCTCTAGAAGGAGCTCAGGATGGTCTCTTGTGAAAGGGGGGGAGGATGCGATTCTCTATGTAACTGCACTGGCTCTGTATAAATGGTATATGGGTTCCATGGTCCCCACTATGGACAGTGATATGGGTCCATCATGGGTTGTCAACATCTCCCTGTTGAGAACCAGTGCTGAAATGATGGGAGAATGTGGACTGGACTAGATAGTGATATCCTCGGTAGTGATATACTTCTCGCCAGATGGAGGATGATGGTATTTGTCTCCTCATACTTGAGCTCCTGTAGGAAGTCTTTTGGAAGCCTTAGATTCCAAATGCAAACATGACAGTACCATCAGTGCATGTAGCTCTTAGACTTCTTTGGTAGTGGAGGTCGAGACTCGTGGCATTTCTCTTTGCTCAGTACCGATGGCAAAGTGGTAGTGGCCAGAGAAGTGTTAGCCTTCTAAGCCTCAGAATAAGTACTGTGGGTCTTTGGGGATTTGGAACCAGAGCGTGATGATTCAAATGACAATTGGGGAGGGGACTTAGAGGAAGAGTTTTCTCTCGAGGACAGAGATTGCTTCTCTTGAGTGGAGGAGTCCTTAACTGTATTCCTATTCACCCAGGTATCAAAAATGATGGTAACTGGGGACATGCTTCTCAATACCTTTGACCAATATACAGGACGGCTGCCTGGCCTGCATCAGACTGAGGTTTCATTGCCTGCTCCATAAAATGTATTCTGAGCCTAAAGTCCTGCACCTGGCAGGTCCAGCTAGGAAAGGAGCAGCAGATACTGCACCTGGTAGAGAAATGTACTTCTCCCAGGCAGCATAGACACCTCTGATGATTGTCACTGACTGGGAAGGCTCATGGGCAGGAGAGGCAGTTTTTGAATCCCAGTACTCCCAACATAGCTCAGTCTTCATGCTGGGAAGAGGGTGGAGAGATAGGGTTGGGGAAAAGCGTCTAAAAAGGGAAAAAAGGTTCCCCAGTCCCTAACTAAATACACTATCTAATAAAAAATATTTTAAAACTATATACAGATAAAGTTGAAGGAAGAACTTTGAGGACACTAGAGTGTTCCATCTCAGACCACGCAGCAGTAAGAAGGAACTAGAGAGGTTGTTGGCTGCATTGTCTCTTACAACCCACAGTACAAGAAGGATGTGGAAAAACTGGAAAGAGTCCAGCGGAGGGCAACAAAAATGATTAGGGGGCTGGAGCACATGACTTATGAGGAGAGGTTGAGGGAACTGGGATTATTTAGTCTGCAGAAGAGAAGAATGAGGGGGGATTTGATAGCTGCTTTCAACTACCTGAAAGGGGGTTCTCCAAAGAGGATGGATCTAGACTGTTCTCAGTGGTACCAGATGACAGAACAAGGAGTAATGGTCTCAAGTTCCAGTGGGGGAGGTTTAAGTTGGATATTAGAAAAACTTTTTCACTAGGAGGGTGGTGAAGCACTGGAATGGGTTACCTAGGGAGGTGATGGAATCTCCTTCCTTAGAGGTTTTTAAGGTCAGGCTTGACAAAGCCCTGGCTGGGATGATTTAGTTGGGGATTGGTCCTGCTTTGAGCAGGGGGTTGGACTAGATGACTTCCTGAGGTCCCTTCCAACCTTGATATTCTATGATTCTAACCTAGGTTCGGAGAACAAGAGTGCAGCTATGGACCAATGGACACTAGTAGCAAGATCTTCCACTCTCAGGCTCATCAAACACATGTACTCACAGTGGAATACACATAAGGACTAGCACTCGAAGAACCATCATTTTCATTGGGAGATTTGGGTGGTTATTTTGTTCACATCTACTATAGTGAAATATATAGAGTTTGATTTTCCCTGCTTCTGAGCAAAGATCAGATGATGTGGGTGTGTGAAGGAGTCTATTCTATGTGGTTGCCCCCAGCAGGCTGCTCTATGTTATGTCATTAGCTTAAGTTCACTATGATTTTATATCAATTGAGGACAAATTCAGCTCTCCTCTGCCACATCTCCTTACCCATGCCAAATCCCCACAAGCAATAGAGAGCTAGCTTATGCAGGAGCAAAAAGTGAATGGATCACATCTGAGGATCTGGGACAAATATTTTAACAGACAGAAATCTGGCAGGTACTTTTGCTCAAACTACTAGCCATTCTACTAGTGGCAATTTAAAAAACAAAATAACCATGAAATACATAATGCTTTATCACATATTAATATAATAATTTATATCAAAACTTGCATACTGATAGTATGCATCATCTTGAAAGTTTCTATGTCAGTATTTTAATTTTTTTTATGATCGTTCATTATTGACTGAAACCTGTTCATTTACAGACGGACAAATTGTACACTATGTTCTGTGTTCCAGAGCAATCACCTTTGTGTTGCAAGAAGTTGTAGGACAGGGTAAAGATGGATGGCACGGAGCCATACAGGGATGATTACAGTATAGTCTCAGACTAGTACATGGCTGTTTGCACTCTTCATTTATGAGACACACCCCTTTGTGACAAATCCTTTTACATTTGTGCATTCCACATTTTAACATTTGATTGCAGCGAAGACCACAAGAGATGTCAGTGAGATGACAGGGAATATTGTTCCGCAGCTGGAAAAGGAAAAAGACGGTATAACTAACAGTGAATGTGTTGTTGTAAAGTGTGTATTCTCAGATACTTTTAATCATGTTTATATTTTAATATAGCATAGATTTTTAAAAGAAAATTATCTATGGTTTTGCACTAAGCTCTTTGCAATCTATTTTAAGCCCAAACCTGAGTATATATAGGTCATGTCATACCTGAAAATACTGCATCAGGTCTGTACACATGTGGTCTAAAGAAAGCAAAACTGCATCTGATCGTTTTAAACTGCATGAAACAGTGTACTTACAAACACTATCAGCACAGTCTCTGTGGGTAGCAATTTTGTGGCTACTTGGGGAGTAGTCTTAGGCTAGGTCCACACTACCCGCCCGATTCAGCGGGTAGAGATCGATCTTCTGGGATCGATTTATCGCGTCTCATCTGGACGATCCCAGAAGCGCTCCCCCGTCGACTGCGGAACTCCTGCTCGCCGAGAGGAGGAAGCGCTGTCAACGGGGGAGCTTGCCTGCGCCGCGTGGACCCGCAGTCAGTAAACTTAGTTCGATCTAGGAAACGTCGACTTCAGCTACGCTATTCTCGTAGCTGAAGTTGCGTTTCCTAGATCGATCCCCCGCCCCAGCGTGGACCAGCCCTTAGAAAAGTAAATATCAAGTGCTTACTCTAAGTTACAAAGTAACGTGTAGTTTAGCAATAACAGCCCACATAAAGCTATCGCTCATTTGTAATTAAAAATGTCATTTGTAATTTGCTCAATAGCAACCACACTTACTTCATGCTTGCCCATACACCATTTTTGAGTGAGGTATGTACAGGGTGGGCACTTCTCTTCACTATGGCAGGTATGGTACACTGCAGGCATAGAAATACAAAATCAGGAAACAATTCTTAAGTACTTTAGTTCACTCAGACATTTTAGGTATATTACAGAGCCTTTTATATTCTAATTTATTCTTTCAGAACCACACAATTTATGTTTGTATGGTATTCTATTATGTTTAAATTTTTTAAAATCAGGATGACATGTTAGCTGCGTAGACATTCCTTCCTTCCTTCCTGGAGTTCCTGCGCTGAACGGTAGGACATTTTGAGTATTAGCTTTAAGAGCAGTGGTTTTCAACCCATGGTCCACAGACCCCCAGGGGGTCCGCAGACTATGTCTAAGATTTCCAAAGGGTCTGCAAATGAAAAAAGGTTGAAAACTACTATTCTAGAGCATGGCACAAGAAAGCATTGTCAGTAATTTGATCAATTTGTTCTGTACTATGCTTTGTATCAATAACATTTTCTGCAGATATGGCTAACAAATTCTTCAAAAACTTTGGATGGTGCATGAAACCCCAACATTTTACCTGGAAAAAAATACCATTATATTCATGGAAAGGAAAAATTTAAATATACCTAATCTGGTTCATCTTTCGAACAGCAAAAGACAGTTACCTGTTCCGTAACTGGCGTTCTTCGAGATGTGTTGCTCAGGTGTATTCCACAGTAAGTGTGTGTGCTTGCCACGTGCACCGGTGCCGGAAGTTTTTCCCTTAGCATTATCCGTACTGGGGGAGCACCGCTGCGACCCCTAGAGTGGCGCCTCTATACCCTGCTATAAGGGGAGCTGCGCGCTCCCCCACCCTCGGTTCCTTCTTGCCGGACAACTCCGACAGAGGGGAAGGAGGGCGGGATGTGGAATACACCTGAGCAACACATCTCGAAGAATGCCTTTCTTCTTCGAGTGATTGCTCATGTGTATTCCACAGTAGGTGATTCCAAGCAATAACTGTTGGAGGTGGGTAGGAGTTCACGATAGTTCGGGACGAAGTACCGCCCTACCGAACCCGGCGACATCCCTAGACTGGGAGACGATCATGTAATGCGAAGTAAATGTGTGAACTGAGGCCCAAGTGGCCGTCCTACAAATGTCCTGAATAGGGACATGGGCTACGTAGGCAGCTGAGGAGGCTTGAGCCCTCGTTGAGTGCGCCCTAATGATCGGTGGCGGGGGGACCCCTGCCAGATCATAGCTCGTGCGTATGCATGAAGTGATCCAGCGGGAAAGCCGTTGGGTGGAGATAGGCTGCCCTTTTACCCGCTTGGCTGAGGCAATAAAAAGTTGCGAGGATTTCCGGAATGGCTTGGTCCGATCCACATAAAAAGCCAGCGCCCTACGCACATGGAGTGTGTGGAGGCGGCGTTCCTCATTAGAAGAATGGGGCTTAGAACAGAGCACAGGAAGAAAGATGCTCTGTTCCATATGGAAAGCAGAGACCACCTTCGGGAGGAATGCCGGGTGTGGGTGGAGCTGGACTTTATCCCCGTGGAAGACCATGTAGGGGGGTTCCGAGGTTAAGGCCCTAAGTTCCGAAACACGTTGGGCCGATGTGATCGCTACAATGAAGGCCACCTTCCAAGAGAGGTGAGACCAGGAACACATGGCCAGGGGTTCAAAGGGGGGCCCCCGTGAGTCAGGGCAAGACCAGGTTGAGGTCTCATTGCGGCACGGGGGGGTCTAGCGTACGGGAATGAACGGTCGAGGCCCTTCAGGAAACGGGAGATCATTGAGTGGGAGAAGATCAAGTACCCTTGCACCGGCGGGTGGAAGGCCAATATGGCCGCCAGGTGCACCCTGACTGAGGTGGAGCGCGGCCAGTTTGGGATGGAGGAGGCGCGCCCCGTCCTGGGAGAGGAGGTCCAGGCGGAGCGGCAGTGCCCTTGGGGGGGCCGCCAAGAGGCGTAGGACGGGCCTGTACCAGTGTTGACGGGCCCACACTGGGGCTATGAGAATGAAAGCGGACAAGGCGAGAGTCACCTTCTGAAGGACCTTGGCGATGAGGGGGAACGGGGGAAAGGAGTAGAGGAGCTGGCCCGACCACCGTAGGAGGAACGCATCGGAGATTGCGCCCTTCCCCACCCCTCCCCTCGAGCAGAACCGGGGGCAACGCCGGTTCTGGTGGGTTGCGAACAGGTCGATCTGGGGGACTCCCCACTCCAGGAAGAGCTGGTGAGCAACCTCTGAGTGGAGCAACCACTCGTACTGGGGGGAGAAGACCCTGCTGAGGCGGTCCACTTGCATATTGCGGACGCCCGGGAGGTGGGTTGCCCTCAGGGAGATATCGTGGCTATACAGAACTCCCGTAGGTTCAGGGCTTCCCGGCAAATGGCTAGAGAGCGAGTCCCGCCTTGCCTGTTGATGTAGTACACGGTGGCGGTGTTGTCCATGAGGATCCTGACCACCCTGCCGCGGAGGTGCGTGAGGAAAGCCACGCATGGGAACCACACCACCCTGAGCTCCTTGACATTTATGTGAAGAGAAGTTCAGAGTCGACCACGTTCCCTGGGTCTGCACGTTCCCTGTGTGGGCTCCCCAGCCAAGGTCCGAAGCATCGGACACCAGGTCTATGGATGGGCTGGCATCCCAGAAGGGAACTCCTTGCAGCATATTGCTTGGGCTAGACCACCACTGAAGGGAACCCAGTATCGGGGACGGAACCGTAAGCATCTTGTCTAGGCCGTCCCGAGCTTGGGAGAATTGGGAGGCTAGCCAGATCTGGAGGGGCCTCATACGGAGTCTGACATGGCGGACCACGTACGGACACGCCGCCATGTGCCCCAGAATTCGAAGGCACACCCTCACTGTGGTCACCGGGAAAGCTGTGACTAAGGCGATGAGATCCCTTAGGGTCTCGAACCTGTCCAGGGGTAGAGAGGCTGTGGCCCTCGAGGAGTCCAGCAGAACCCCAATGAACTCTATGTGCTGAACAGGAACTAATGTTGATTTGGTCTCGTTCACCACTAGGCCGAGACCGGCGCATGTTGATAGGAGCAGCTCCATGTGGGTCTTTACCTCGGAGCGGGATTCCCCCTTGAGGAGCCAGTTGTCCAGGTAAGGAAAGATCTGTACACCCTCCCGCCTGAGGTAGGCCGCTACCACAGCCATACATTTCGTAAAAACCCTGGGTGCCGTGGATAGGCTAAACGGGAGGACCGCAAACTGGTAGTGGGTCCATCCCCACCAGAAAGCGGAGGAAGCGCCTGTGCCCCTCGAAAATATGGATATGAAAATACGCGTCCTGAAGGTCTAGGGCCGCGTACCAGTCCCCTGGGTCCAGGGAAGGGATAATAGAGGCCAGAGACACCATGCGGAACTTGGAACAGACCAGAAACTGGTTTAGGTCCCCCAGTCAAGGATGGGCCTGAGGCCCCCTTTGGCCTTCGGGATCAGGAAGAATGGGGAGTAGAACCCTTTGCCCTGGAATTCCACGGGTACCCTTTCCACCGCCCCCAGGTGCAGAAGCCGGTCCACCACCTGCCCCAGGAGGCGGACATGCTCCGGGTCCCCCCGGGGCCATCATGGAGAGCGGGTGATTTGGTGGGGGTGAGGTGAACTGCAACATGTAGCCCTTGGAAATGGTACTGAGGACCCACTGATCCGATGTTATGTGGGACCATGCCCTGTGGAAGGCAGACAATCGGTTGCAGAACACAAACTTTATTAAACCAGGGGGGGGTCTCCCTGGCAACAGGCCCGGTGCCCCCCTGCAAATAGTCAAAAACGGCTCTTTCCCTGCCTCTTGCCCTTGGAGGGCCCAGGCTGCGGGGCAGAGCGGGACTACCGCTGAGACTGGCATTTCTGGTCTCTGGGTCTTTTATACGGGGGCTCGTATCTGCTCCTCGCAGGTTGAGCCGCCAGAAGCGATTTGGCCTTGTCTTTGGCCGGAGGGACGTAGAGGCCCAAGGTCTGCAAGGTAGTGCGGGAATCTTTCATCCCATGCAGCCTGACGGCCACCTGGTCCGCAAAGAGCACCTTCCCATCGAACGGAAGGTCCTGCATCAGGAATTGGGCCTCCGTCAACAGTCCTGACAACAGGAGCCACGATGCCCTGCGCATGGAAATCGCGGAAGCCATCGAGCAGGCCGCAGTGTCAGCTGCATCCAACGCCGCTTGCAGGGCCGCTTTAGCAGCCGCCGCCCCCTCTTCCACCAGCACCTTGAAGTCCTTCCTATCCCGATCCGGGAGGAGGGGCTCGAACTTAGGCAGAGACTCCCAAAGGTTGAAGACATATATCTGCTCAGTAAGGCCTGGTGGTTGGCTACCCTAAGCTGGAAACTTGCAGAGGAATAAAGCTTTCTCCCAAAGGAGTCCAGCCGTCTGGCGTCCTTATTTTTGGGGGTGGGCGCGGGCTGGCCCTGTTGCTCCCTGTGGTTTACTGATTCCACCACGAGCAAGTTGGGTGCCAGGTGGGAATAGAGGTATTCGTGGCCCTTGGCCGGCACAAAGTCTTTCCTCTCCGCCTTCTTGGAGATAGGGGCCAAGGAGGCAGGGGTTTGCCACAGGGTGTTGGAGATGTTGGCAATACCCTGGTGCAGCGGCAGGGCCACGCGGCCCGGTGCCAAGGGAGACAGGACGTTGAAAAGGGAATCGGACGGACCCTCCATCTCCTCGGCCTGCAGCTGGAGGCTGGATGCCACCCGCTTTAGCATGTCTTGGTGTGCCCTGAAGTCCTCCTGTGGGACTGAGGGTGGAGGCTCCGTTATGGTGTTGTCCGGTGTCGGAGAGAGGGCCCACACGAGGCCGGGAGCCTCGGTCGGTGCCGGGGCGTCGAGCCACAGATCAGAATCCGAGCACGGGTCCGCCGACTCGTGACCCACTGACTTGTCCCGTAGGCGGCCGGACGAGGCTGATGGAGCCTGAGATGCTCCGGTGACCAAACGAGCCCCCGTCTGGGCTGGCATCGGTATCCACACCGTGCAGGCGAGCGCTCTCAGTGCCTCTCTTGGTGCCTACGCTCTCTGGCAGGCGGTGTTGAGGGTCCCTGCGACTCCCGTCCTGACGGCGACCCGGATGGTCTGCCGGTGTCGAGGGTGGGTGGGAGTTGCAAGAGAGCGACCACTGCACGCCGAGCCGTGCGGGGAGCGATCCTCGGAGTGGAAACTGCGGCTGGCTGGAGAGGTCAGGTGGGCACCCAATGGAGGCTTGCCACGAGACCTGGGGCCCGTGCTCGGTACTGGCAGGTCCATAACGTCCTTCGCAGCCTGCAACGCCTCCGGCGTCGACGGCATCCGTACCGGTGGGGATGCATGGGCCGACGGTGCCGGGCTGCTCCGCTCCACACGAGTCGTAGGCCTTGAGCCCAGAGGGGACCGAGGGCTGCCCAGCGCGGGACCAGCCTCCCCCTTTTCCTTGCCATGGTGCTGCTGCGAGGCTGGGCTCTTCCCTTGCTTTTTGGAGGGAGAGCAGCGCCGACTGGTCAAAGGGGCCTCGCTCCGCACCGACTATGCGGCGGCCGGTGCCCAGTCCGAACGGTGTACCGGCGTTGGGACCAGCACCGACTCCATCAGGAGAGCTCGAAGTCTAATGTCTCTCTCCTTCTTGGTCCTTGGCTTGAACAACCTGCAGATCTTGCAACGGTCGCTAATGTGAGTCTCACCCAGGCAGTGGAGACACTCAGCGTGTGGGTCACTCCTAGGCATAGAACGGCGACAGGAGTCACACGACTTGAAGTCTGGGGCAAGAGGCATGCCCCGAGCCCACTCTAACAACTGAAGAAACAATCCATGAAAGGTACCACTAAGGTCGAGAAGAGAATGCTGCAGCAGAGCTGGAGCACAAAGTTCCGACTACCTTCACTGGCGGCAAGAAGGAACTGAGGGTGGGGGGAGTGCGCAGCTTCCCTTATAGCACGGTATAGAAGCGCCACTCTAGGGGTCGCAGCAGCGCTCCCCCAGTACCGATACTGCTAAGGGGAAAACTTCCGGCACTGGTGCACGTGGCGAGCACGCACACCTACTATGGAATACACCTGAGCAATCACTTGAAGAAGAAACAATAAATCTGAGAACACAGAAAAATTTAGACACTAGACAATTTTAAAAAGTTATGTGGGCATACCTATGACTTACCTGGATGATCACATTCATGTGGTCTGGTACATGAGTTTTTACATTCTGGTGGCTGAGTACCACAAGGAACAGGAGGATAAATTACCGACTCACCACAGTAACAAGTTAGTTCATCAAAACCTGACAAAGCAAAACAAACCAAACAACTAATCAACAGAGTTGAAAAAATATTACCTTGGTTAAAAAAAATCCAGCTTAAGAAAGTTAAAGGAGCAATAAAAAAAATAAGAAATTATATAACAAATGGGTGCTTGCCAGACGGTTAATATTACCTTTTTAATAAATCTTAGAAAACGGGACACAGGAAAATAGGCCCTGAACAAAAATTTTAAGTACTGTACTCATGTTAAGACCTAAGGCAAACAGGAGAGGCTAAGGGAAGTTTGAGTAGCAGCTGCAGAACCTGCAATTTGATTTGACTTAGTGAGTTGTATGTTTGATCTGTTTGTCTCTCTCAGTGCCATGTGACTGGGGATCTGGGCCTTTTGTTCAGGCTAGGTGATTGAAGTCGGAGCTGTTAATCCTTCTCTGTTAACAAGGAACCATACTGACTTGCTATGCTAAGCATATAAACTAGTTACAAAAACAAACTCCTGAGTGAGGAAACAACACATGCTAACGTGAATCTGAGTGAGTGTAGGAGCTTTTTCTCCAGGTACAGTTCTACATAAGCAACGATGCTGACCAATGATGGAACAGTTATTATGACACATCCCTTAGAGGCCACATTCTGTTTCCTGCCTGTCGACAGAAGAGGCTCTCTGTGCATAAAGTTCAAGTTGATGGCTGCATTAGAGAAAAAGATCTGTCGTCTTGGTGTGTAGCTAATAACTCACTGTACTATGCGAGTTGCCTTACCAAGTGTGGGGTCAGTCTAATGAGACAATTCAATTAACAGTAGAATACCAAGGGAGGAAAAATCACTTTTGTAGTGGTAATGAGGGTGGCCCATTTCAAACTGTTGACAAGAAGGTGTGAGTAACAGTAGGGGGAAATTAGTATGGGGAAATTAGGTTATGTAATGACCCATCCACTCCCAGTCTTTATTCACAGGGCTTTGGAGCGGAGCCTGGAGCTGGAGCGCGGAGCAGTAGGTTTTTACCCAGAGCTGGAACGGAGCTGGAGCGGAGCTTATTCAGGCCTAATTTGACGGTGTCCAGTTTCCAAATTAATTCCAGTTCTGCAGTTTCACATTGGAGTCTGTTTTTGAAGTTTTTTGGTTGAAGAATTGCCACTTTTATGTCTGTTATTGAATGACCAGGGAGACTGAAGTGCTCTCCTACTGGTTTTTGAATGTTATAATTCCTGATGTCAGATTTGTGTCCATTTATTCTTTTGTGTAGAGACTATCCGGTTTGGCCAATGTACATGGCATGCTGGCACATGATAGCATATATCACATCGGTAGATGTGCAGGTGAACGAGCCCCTGATGGTGTGGCTGATGTGGTTAGGTCTTATGATGGTGTCCCTTGAATAGATATGCGGACAGACTTGAAGAAGTAGAAGTCACCTACTACAAGACAGGCCCAACAAAGAAAGTAACAGAACGCCACTAGCAGTCACCTACAGCCCCCAACTAAAACCTCTCCAGCGCATCATCAAGGATCTACAACCTATCCTGAAGGATGATCCCTCACTCTCTCAGACCTTGGGAGACAGGCCAGTCCTCGCTTACAGACAGCCCCCCAACCTGAAGAAAATACTCACCAGAAACTACACACCACACAACAAAAATACTAACCCAGGAACCAAACCCTGCAACAAACCCCTGCAACAACTCTGTCCGCATATCTATTCAAGGGACACCATCATAGGACCTAACCACATCAGCCACACCATCAGCAAGATGTCAAGCAAAGAAAGAAGCAAGAAAGATTCTATACAGACAGAAGCTAAGAGACATTCTCTCCTGCTTCTGACTCTGTAGAAAGTCTCTTGCTGCTTTTTCCCTTGCTTAGAAAACTGATATCAAATTACTTTGACAAGATCTTAAACAAGACTACAATTCTGGTTGATGCAAGGTCATCAAGTACATTCAATATGTGAATTGTGGCTGTGACCAGAAGGGAACGAAGGGGATGCAGGAGAGAGACTGAGGGGAATCCAGAGAAATGCACAAAGGGAAGTTACTTACCTTTATAACTGGAGTTCTTTGAGATGCATGGTCCCTATCTGTATTCCACTGTAGGTATACATGTGCTCCATGTGCCTGAGACCAGAGAATTCTTGCAAGCAGTCTCTGTTGGTTCATGCCCAAACCCCTGCTATTCTTGTGCTCTGTACTGAGGGCATAAAGAATGAGGCAGGGGAGACCAACTGGCTCTTCCGTTTCTTTGTCTATGGCAAAGCCAGTTATGATCTGAAGCAGAGAAGGAGAGTGGGTAGTGGAATACAGATAGAGACCACATACCTTGAATAACTCCAGTTACTTCCCTTTCTTCTTCGAGTGCATATTCTACTGTGGGTGACTGACAAAATAGTACCTGGAGAGGAGGAGGGTGCAAGGATGTTTGTAGAACCACTGCCACAAAGCATGTGTCAGCGGAGCAGTCTTGGACCAAGGCATAATGTCCCGTGAATGTGTAGATGGAACTCCATGTAACTGCACTGCAAATATCAAGCAGGGATACTTCCTGAAGTGATGCCACTGATGCCCCTTATGCACCCTTGTAGAGTGAGCCCATACGGGGGAGAGAGTTGTGTCAACTATAGAGTACGATACAGCCAGAGACCCACTTAGAGATTCTCTGGGAGGATATAGCTTGACCTTGAACTTGTTCCGCTATGGCAACCAACAGTCTAGGAGTAGGTCTACATTGCAATTAAACACTGACAGCTGGCCCGGTCAACTAACTTAGTCCCATAGCCTGAGCCCAGTGAGCCCGTCTAATTGCAGTGTAGATGTTTGGGCTCGAGCTTGATCCCTGGGACCCTCCCGCTTCACAGGGTCCCAGAGCCAGGGCTCCAACCCAAGCCCAAACATCTACACCACAAATTAAACAACCCTGTAGCTGAGTCAGTTGACAATGGCCAACCACAAGTGTTTAATTGCAGTGTAGACATACCCTAGGAGGCTTTCTGATCAGTTTTGTTTTCAGCAGGTAAAAATCGCACATCAAGGAAATGAAGAATCCTCTCCATGCCAGAGGCATTGGGCTTCAGGAAAAAAAAAACAAAAAAATAAAACCAAAACACGCAGGTAGGTGAACTAGCCAATTTAGGTTAAATTCCAAAACTAATTTAGGAGTCAATTTTGGGTGTAGTCATAGCAAAACCTTGTCCTCATGCAATATTGCATATGAAGGATCAGTTGTCAGTGTCATGAGTTAACTTTTCCTTCTGGCCAAGGTGATAGCAATGAGGAATGCTACCTTCATCAAGAGGTAAAACATGGAACACTTAGCTAGTTGTTCAAAGGGTGACTTAGTGAGTGCCAAAAGTACTAAGGTAAGGTCACATTGAAGGTTTTGTTTGTTTACTGGTGGAAAGGTTCTCATCAGGCCTTTCAAGAATTTGGTTAAAGGCTGGGTAAAGATCAAGTGACTGTCTGATGACAGATGACACATGCTGATTTCCACCAGGTGAACTTGCAGTGAATTAAGGGAAAGAACTGATGCCTTCACAGTAAGTCTAAAACAGCGGGACTATCTGCTGTCTCTGAAGATGTATGCTTTTGCTGGGCCCAGATAGAGAAATTTTTCCACTTAGCTACATAGCATTTTCTGGCGGAGTCCTTTCTGCTATTATTAAGAATGGCTGCATGGCTTCACAGCAGGTACTTTCTAGGCTGGACACCCATCAAAATGCCAAGCCATGAGATGAAGTGCTTTGGGGTTGGGATGGTAGACTCTATCATTCTCCTGAGTCAAGAGATTTGGAAAGGATTGCATGCTGATTGTTGGATGGGATGACATCTGTAGGAGGCTTAGAAACCAGAACAGTCTGGGCCGTTTGGGAGCAATGACTTATGCTTTGTCTTACTAAATCTTCTATAGAACTTGAGGTGGTATCATGATGGGAGGGTAGGCATAGCTCAAGTAATCTGACCAGGGCAGAAGGAGAATATTGCCTCTGGAGTGCTTTTCTTGAGCTCCCCTGGAGAAGTACATGTTGCATTTCCTGTTTGCCTGCCCCAAATGGGGGTTCCCCACTGAGTGAAAATGCTGTTCACTACTGACTAAGGCTGTCTGCCAATTAATTCTGCATTTCTGGAGAGTACACTGCTAAAAGGGTAATATGATTTTTGATCCACCAGTTCCATAAGGTAACAGCTTCTACACACAGGGGGATGGATCTCACTCACCCCTGTTTATGTAGAACACAGTTATGCTGTCCAATATTATGAGTACCCAGTGAAAATGAATGGCAGAAAGGCTTCACAAATTTCCTGGACTGCCCAGAAGTCCACAAGACTGATGTGCATTCTGGGCTCTCGAGGCATCCAAGTCCCTGCACCATCTGACTGTACACGTGAGCTCCCCAGACTATCATGGAGGAGCTCACGTGTCTGTAATGATCATCTTGTCAGGTGTGGGGCTAGGAAAGGAATACCTACACACACTTGTTCAGGATTTTTCCACCAAGTTAGTGAGGTCCTCACCCTGGTAGAAAGTGTCACTATGGTGTTCATGCTGTGACTGATTGGTTTATATACTGTTTGGAACTAAGTCTGCAGGAAATGGAAGTGGAGTCTGGTAAATAGTGTGGCATAAGTCCTTGATGCATCCCGGGAGAGAAAGGAAAGTGAAATTATGTTCAAGAGGCGCACATTACCTGGTCTATCACGTTACTCATGGTGTGAAATCTATCCATCGGGAGATAAACCCTCACCCTGACTGATTGCTCCTATAAATTCTGAAGTCTTAGTTGGAATCAGGGTAGATTTTTCCATGTTCACACAGATTCCTAGGGATGAGAGAAGGTGAAGCAGAGATGATGTTGATGTGAGGGCTTTCTCATGTGTCCTTTCAACAAGATGCCAATAGTCTAAATATAGGAAAATGGTGAAGCTGCTGCATCTGAACTGTGCTGCTACTACTAGAAACACTTTGATGAAGATGCTGGGTGTGGTTGCTAGGCCAAATGGGAGTACCCTGTATTGGTACTGGTCAGGACCCA